ATTTGGAAGATTATTGTTCGTCAGACTTTCGTTTTATAAATCAGTCTTTTAATTACAAAAATTATTTTTATTTTTTTTTTTTTTTGTATTTTCATCAAATTACATCTTACAAAATAAAATCGATTTTCCTTATTCTGGAATGGTTGCTCTTGTTCATAAAATTAGAATGACCCATATTTTTCAATTCCTACTATTAGATCACTCTCGCCCTATATATATCTTGTTCAAATTTTCATTCGTTAATAAAATACTTTCTATTCATCCATTCAAGTTCAAATACATTTTTTTAAAACTTGCAGTGGTTGACACTTGATGTTAATACAGTTTTTTCAAATATTAATTCATTAATTAAATTAAAAAACTAATAAATAGTAACAAACAAAAATAACAACATACATAGAAAGGAAAATCGTTCATTGTGTCCCTGTAGCACAATGGATAGCGCTTTGGACCTCTAATCCAAAGGTCATGCGTTTAAATCCCACCTGGGATGGCCTAATTTCTAAGAATGTGATTTCTTTTTTATATTAGTATTTTATTGGAATAATTAAATTTAATGAATGAATAAATAGTAAAAAAAAAGAAGAGTCCAACATCGTATATAAAAAGTAAAATGGAAAATTGCAAGAAAAATCGCTTTGTGTTTTGTCTCTTAATATCGTGATTCTGCCATATGTATGTACATATTTATATTAATTGTAACTATTTAATAAAAAGTAGATAAAATAAAAGTTTTCTTTCTTGACCTAAGTAAGAATTGACTTCATTTTTTATATTATTTGTTTTTCAGCATTAAGAATAAATAAAACAATATTTTTTTTATTTATTTAAAAAAACAAATAGGTTATTGCTTAAGTTGAAAAAATTCATTCAACTAATGATGAAAATTATAGTTTATTTACACAATTAATTATTTATAATAAAAAAAACACGCACTATTATTTATCAATTATCTTATTCATTACTAACTGTGAAATATTTGCATATTTGAACTTGAAGAAATTGATTACTACTTATAACTAACTCTGTCCATCAATGAATGTTATAATCCCTACCTGCACTGAGGACACCAGCATATTGTGTTATCAAAGTGCGTATTGTTGATACGTAATCAAACAATAGCTATAATTTACATACAAACCCTTGTAACGCATGTAGGACTTGGATCAATAATATTCTCTTCTACCCAATTAAGTCTATTATATACCTACTAAACATCTATAAGATGTCGCTTGATATCTAATGACTCGGGATAGTGCTTACCAGACATTCTCATTAATAGTATATTAGAGTATGCGTTTCAATATCTGTCTGCATTATGTGTCTATCTAATATTAATAATAATTATGTGATCTAACTGGAAAGTAGAGGGAAATATGATAGAGAGAGAGAAAGAATTGGGTTTTGTGAATTGGCATCCAATTATAATTAACCCTTTAAAGAGTCAATTTATTTTTGCCCAAAATGTTCCAAAAAAATCACATTTTTTAACTGCATATAACTAAGCATAATTTACAACGAAACGCGAAAATAGATGAATTTTATTTTAATTTTCATACTTTAAAGTTTTTACGCTATTTTTTGTTTTATAATTGTGGATTACAAAAACCTCTTTGTTTGGTTTTTATAAGTACACTCTGCATGTTATGAAGAGTGTTTCGTACATCTTAAAATAATTTCTCTGATATTTATAAAAAAATTTCAAGTTCGTACCTCTTTTTCAAACGGTTAAGGGTTTTGTCTGTATCTGTGTGTATATATATGTTACCATTAAGGTGTGAAATTCGTTATTTCATTGAACAACAAGGTATTTCGTAAAATAACTAGACATACACAAGTCAGTTAAAGTATATCAAATTATTGAATTCTACGATTTAACTAGGTATATTCTATAAAATAACGATTACTTGATCGTTAAAGTATGAAATACGGCTCTCCAAAAAGCTTTGAACCGGTTTGGAATAAAAGATGGCCGAATAAAACAATTGCACTCTAGATATCATTTCAGTATATGTATGAATGAGGATTAATTTTAAATTGAAAAAGTTCTGAATATTGACACAATGCTTTGATCTGTTGCATCAGCTCAAAGTTGTGGTACTGAACAAGAATTTAAAAAGTACTCGTGTAAAAGAAATGAGTAATAGTAAAAAGTGCGCCTTTTTCAAAAATAATATGCAAAGCAATTCAAAGCGTCATCACAGCAACCCTTACTCAGTCTCAGTGACGCAATAGCCCTGGCCCTGCTCATCCCAGTATACGTGACCATTGGGCGCTGAGGTGTATGAGCAGATGTCCCGACCCGGTGGTCAGTCTGAAGCGAGACCCCCAGTGTTTAAGTCCCCAAGCAAGCTTGGTACTCATTTATCGATCCACTGCAGTAGAGAAGAAAGGCTGAGTCGAACTTGCCCAGCCCGGGAATAGAACCCAGATCTGTGGGGTGGGAGCGTGATATGCTACTACTCGACCACTGGACTTTTAAGCAATCCTTGCTCTAATAAATAATGAAAAAATAAAATAAAGGTATTTCAACACATTTAAATTAATATTCTCTTACATTTTTGTTTGAAAAAGCTTACAACACACAATGTTTTATAACGCAACAGTTTTTCTTCCAAGCTTGTATTTTTTTACAATATTTAAATCTAACTATTTCTGCAACATATATATTTTTTTTTCGCTTTAACTAATGTTATCAATATGAACAATAATAAATCATATCATCTGCTTTTCGTTATTTATCAATTAATCATCCGCAATAGGGATAAAATGTATTTATCGAGAGGTTTTATCTATTTATGATCAATTAATTTAAAAAATAACTTTGAAATTGTTTATTTTTCATTTTAATGATCTATCAATAGTTATTTCATAGAATAACTAGTTATTTCATGAAATAACTGGATTATACATTTTAACGGTAACATATATATATCGTCAGTCTAATTATCAGACTGCGTAACTCCATCTGGGATGCTAATTTGATACAGTAGGGCTAGGCACCAAGTTGTTGTTTATGTTCGCCAAGATTGGCGATAATATTACAATATGGTTTACTTTGATATTTTTATCGTGCGATAATATGGTTGCCATGGGGATAACGTGTATTAGTGTTAGTTTTTTGTTTTGGTTTTTTTCCGCGGGATCTCTGCTCAGCAAAAGTAACACATTGTTTCAAATTTTGGGTAATGAACCCTTAAAATAGTGTAAATAATTTATATCTGGAAGCGTAATATATTAATATTATACCTTCTGTTGTATTTATTTTATGTTAAAATCTTGCCACCACCTCTCCCTTCGAAAAATCTAGTTTTATTATGAAATAAAAAAAAGTAGTGATTACACTGATGGAGGAATAAATTCAAAGCGGCGCGCGCACTGAGGCTTGGCGTAGATAAAACAAAAGCATTAAGGAATCGCGCCAAAAAGCGCTTGGCGCGTTGCACTCTTATATCAAATCAGTTAAACCGGTGGAGTTACGCAGTTTGATAATTAGGCCGACGATATATATATGCACTCACAATTGGAAGCATTGTGTAATACTAAGTCTTACATTGCAATGGAGTCTGAGATAATATCGGCTTTTCGGGATTATGTTTCCATTTTCATTTCTTCTCAAGCAACAAATTGAAGATTGCCTTGCCAATCACTGTTTTTTATCGAATATTTTGAAGAATCTAAATTCCTACCTTCAATGAAAAATTCCAGCCTTCAACACAAAGAAAATCCCGGATGAAAAGTATTTCAGAACCATGGACAAACTTCATCTTATAAAAACACTAGTACTAATAATCGCTCAGTAGGAATTTAAGTATGAGCAAATCAAAGATAGAAAGAAGAAAATATCAGTGCCCGTACCATGTACGGGTGAACCGGTTGTGGCCAGTTTTTGGTAACCCGTACAGTGTGCGGGATTAATAGAGAAGGGTTTTCGCTATTTTATATTTATTGCTTGATTGATTGAATATTAACGTCGCACTGTTCAGCTACACGAGGGCTTTTGCGACGAACCACGTAATTTTGAACCATGGTCAAGTGACGTGAACGGCGGCACCTGAGCTGGCACCCCCTTCTAATTACCACACCACACCACACCAACGGGAGGACGTTTGAGCTCTCGACAGATTTAACGTGCATCGCTTCCCTACACGGCGGGTCTGGTGGAACTGGGCTCGAACTCGTGACAAGGCAAGCAACGATCCGATATCTATACCACTCGGCTACCACGGCCCCTTTATATTTATTGCATTTTGAATGATTGATTGTTTAGTGTTATTTTTGATATCGATGCTTTTAATGTATTGATTAGAATAATTCATTAATAAAATTTTAAGAATTTAGGCATTTTTTGTACATAAAAAGATTTAATAGATTTTCGAAATAGCATTCTGAAAAATTTGTCGGCTAGAATAATGTTTTTAATAGGAATTCATTCGCCTTCCATGACATGACTGCAATGAAGTTTTTCATTCTTTTTTATTTTTCTTATGTATTTTAAACGAGCCATTTTTTCTTCTTCTTTTCTAAGCACAACAGAAGAAAAAAAAAACGTCATTGTAATGCATATTCCTGTTCTCCTTTTATTTCTTTTCTTTTCTTTCTTTCTTTTTTTATTTATGGTTTTGAAAAAGCGCATAAATGAATAATAATTTTTTTTTTCATATTTGATATCACCTGAATTAGAATATACATATAAGCTTGTTTAAAGAATATTGCTATAAGAAAAAATTATTTAAATGTAATTTTTTGGCAAAAAAATAAAGAAAGAATGACATATTTTCTAAACATTCTCCTTTTTTTTAATGGAAAATATTTATATAACAATAATATCTTACCTATATATAGCTGAGACTTCTATACAGAACCTGATTTAGGATTTTTGAAACATATTATTCAGAAGCGAATTTATTCATATTTTAATTCATCAGAATAGAGGAATTCTAACAAAGAAAAGCATCGGTTATATATATTACTTCAATTGATCGTAATTCTGAAAATAATGTGAATTTTTCAAAAATCCTAGTTCAAGCTTTGTAGAGAAATTCTATCTATATATAAGCAAAATATTATTATTATAGAATTATTTTTGCATAAAAGGAAAAAATATTCAAAATATGTCATTCTTTCTCTATTTTTTACCAAAAAATTGTATTTAAGTAATTTTTATTGTAGTAATATATATTTAAGACACTTTTATGTGTTTATTTTATATATATGTAATTCACACACACACACACAAATAACGCTAAATATAAAAATGTTTTTTTTTATTTATACGCATTTCTGTCATATTTCCAAACGTAGTCGGATAACTTAAAATTTTAAAAACTTGTTAAACATATAGAAAAACCAAATTTGGATGTCTAACGCGAAATAATGAAAATATTTTGGGGACAATGAAAGAAAAATGTTATATATTTTTTTGAAAAGAAAATACTATGTATCAAAATTTTCTGGTAAACTTTGAAATGTTCAATTACAGCATTATTTAAT